TACAACTAATAGTACAAGTAAAAAGGCAAGCAATAGACATAATGCAGTCGATGATCGGAAACTGTAACCAGATGAGGTTAATGGTGGCATACTATAGAAAGCAGTGGCGAAAGTGTCAAAAACACGTGGAAAAGATATTTAACAGGTTTGATAAGAGTGCTGAGGGACTAGAAAAGAAGAGAAAAGATAATTATGGAGATGTAATAATATAAAAAATAGGAGACAAAGGACGAATAAAAGTTCAAGAAGAACGAGTAGAAGTTTGTAAGGAACCGATAGCAGTACAAGAAAGCAGTAAGATTAAAGAAGACGTAGAAGATTTTACACAGCCAGTGACAGAAGTGCAAACAGCACAAAAAGTTCAAGCAGAAATACAATCAACACCACGAGAGGAATTGGCATTAAGAGAGATATTTGGTAAGAAGAAACAAAAGCCTAGAGTGATTAGTAACGAAGTCGTTAAACAAAAAATAAAAGTAATTAAGGGAAAGGACACACCAAGTAAGGATCAACAGAAGAAGCTACAAATGGACAAAGACAAAGAAAATATCCAGGTGAAAACCATACACAAGCCAAAGGTGAAGAGAATCAAAACACTGATGGCGAACAGAGAGGAAAGGAGTGATTATAAGAAGGATTGCTGGATTACTGGATTCAGAGTTCATTATTTATAAGTGTACTTATTACAGATTATTATTATTATTATAGATATTACAGATACAGATTTATGTAAATATATTAGATTATATATTCTATTTATCACTGATACTTATGAAAAGCCTTCATCGTTTCCAAATCAGGCTGAACTTATAATGTTATGTATACATTTCTTTATTTCTGTTTGAAGTTCCAATCGTTTTACAAAAATATAGCTCTCTCTCTCTCTATCTCATCCCGACTACCGCGACGACGGCGCCACCATGATATGTAACTTGACAAAACTATCTGACGTTTTGAGCGCCATATCCATAGTATTGCGTTCGGCCTCCTTTACTCTAGTCTTCATGGTCCTGCCATTAAATTATATTCAACATGGAACGCGCGCACAGTAGTGAAAGCAGAGATGAGTAGAGAGATTGCCAATGGGCCTGTTTTTGGTGGTCTCAATTTTACTCTGGTGTCGGCGCGCCACCTTAGCGGAGGGCCCTCGAAGCAGTTCCACATTTTTGATTGGTCGTGTATATATAGTAATACTACGCGTGAGAATCTGGAGCTGTGTTTTGGTAGAGTCCATCAAGTCCTTAGATGTAGCATAACCCTGCGGGGGGAAGCCGTCCAGGGAGGGGTGCCGAGGTACACTGTGCCTACTTGTGATTAGTTACTATTGGAAGCAAGCGTAGTGATGTAAAATCGCTACGTAAAACAAGGAATAGTAGTACCAATCATGTTAAGGCACAGTAAGGGAGGGGTCAGCTTGAATTTGATTGGTTATGCGGCGAACTCCCCCCCCCCCACCTCATTTTGCCTCACGCCCCAAGCCTAAAATATCAGTTTATACTACATCTATGTCTTTTTTATATCTATGCTCTAGTCAGAGTCCGGCCAACTGTGGGCCCTCTTACTGATTCGCTCCGCCATTTTGAGGGCTCGTTCCGGAATAGGATGGTGTGTGTGAATACGTATATGGGAGAGATTCGCATTGTGTAGTGTGGATAGTGTTAAGTCCTGTACGGCGGGTTGCCTGTACTTGGCGCGAGATTCGACCGTGTCTCGCGCAATGTCATGGCGGCGCCAAACGAGCCCTAAACGTGGCGTCCCTTCCAGTCGTTGGCCGGACTCTGTCTAGAGCACTAGAGGGACTCTATGTTTTGGCGCGTCGACGCGCCACCTGAACGAGACTCTCTAACTAGTTCCACGTTTTTGATTGGTCGAATGAATTCGTGTGTTCCTAGAGATCCACGATTTTTAACCGGGTGAACATTCAAATAGGGAGACTTGTATCCACCCTTTCTTACTGCATATTACATAAACCGTAGTAATGAGGCAGTAAATTCTGCCGATGTTAATTCCCTTAATATCCAATTGAAGCTTTGTAAATAATAGAGTGAGCAAATAAAACTTTAAACAAACCTTGGAACGTGGGTAACTACAGAAATATAAAGTTTCCAATTTCTACAGCACAATGGCTCGGTAGCGTACGTGCTTGGTGGTGGGTTAACGTCCGAGAGTCTGGGGTTCGGAACTCACGTCTCAACCCTTTTTTTTTTCTTAATTATCAACTATGCTTATTGGTTCACCTAGATAACTTAAGATTCCTTAAATATATGATTATATTAGTCTACAAATATTGTATTATATTACATCGTATACATGCAATAAATTGGTACATCAAACAGCGAACGTTTCTTCTTCCCGAGAGCCTACCTGTGACAAACACCTATGTTACCCTGTTTGATGTTTTAATAGCATAAATAAAATTTAGACGAATAGAGAAGGCATTACGGAAAATTACCAAAAAAACAAAAAATGCACTTATAAGTTTCGGACATAAAATGATGAGCATATAAAAGTGAACCAATTATTTTCTATAGTGAGATGAAACAAATAATGTATCTGGTTAAGGAATTTTTTTCATTTAATTTTTTACATTGAAGGCTATGTAAAGACAATAGTTATAATACATCGAATTATCAGAAAATTATGTCGAGGGAGAATATACTGATAGTTCGAAATATTGAAAATAAAATTATCTTTCCGTAGGCTTGAATACAAAAAATTTACTAAATTGAATCAGGCTACTCAAAAATGTATGAAACTAAAAATTTCTAAGCAGATATACTATTTGTCTCATCTCATTTTTGACTGCTTTTCTATTCGGCTAAATAGTATTAAACTATTAAAAAATGAAACAGCCTGCCATACGTGCGTTATTAAATTTTTTTTTAATCAGACCACGCTGTGACCACGGCACATTAAAACAAAAAATGAAATGAAGAAATGTATCTATGTTACAAACGCAAAAACGTTAAGAGAACAAAACGAGATTTTTTCCATCGCTGTCAATTTTTCTCTTACATCTTCATGAGAGTCCGTGTCGCAACAAGTGAGGCTGCCGAGTTCCACCAGCTATGGATTATCATATATGAAAAACATGCATTAGGCGAGTTGCTCTCCACAAATAGCGCGAATGTCGACCCTCGCGTAGAGTGCCTCTAATTAGAGTCAGGCCAATACTCGGAAGAGACGCCAGTTCAGGGCTCGTTTGAAGCCGCCATGACATTGCGCGCGGATTTTCAAACTATCAATGTTTACCATCAAGAGACTCGGTCGAGTCTCGCACCAAGGACAGGCAACCCGCCGTACAGGGCTTAACACTACACCACAATACACAATGCGAATGTCTCCCATATACGTATTCACAACTACATATCCTATTTCGGAAAGAACCCTGAAAATGGCGGAGCCAATCAATAAGAGGCCCACCGTTGGCCTGACTCTAACTAGAGGGACTCTACCTCCGCGTGGCTGACTCCAGCTGGCTGTCCCTTTCTCTTTCTCCGCGTCTTCACGGGCACGGCGAGCGAGCGACCTATTCGAACTCCGGCAGAGTACACGCAGAACAAAAGAAAAATAATAAAATAGTCTGTCGTAGTTTTAATTAGGCCCTGGCGGTCGGTGGATCCTGTCTGGATTTCGCTGTGGTCTTAGGCCATTATCGCGTTTCGGCGTGATTTTCCACCGAGGACACGACGGGTGAAATCAGAGATTACACAAGGAGCACGAACTCAAATGGGAAAATTGACAAAACCTGCTACCAATATCGTCCACACTACGTTTTCTTTCTGTACCACTAGCGTCGCTAGTTTCCCTTTTGTACTGACGTGAATATAGCATAATAAATACATGTGAAGTAAGCAGGCATATATTTAGAAGTAATTTCCGTTTGCAAATAAACACGCTTCTAACCTAAACAACTTAATAAATATATTTAATATATATAAATAGTTCATTTAAATAAAATTTATATTAAAAAATGAAAATATGGGAAGAGTGTGCGCTGTAAAAGATTGTAAAAGTGGCAGTGCAGCTGATAATAAGCGACGAAATCATCTGAATTTGAAAAAGCCAGGATTTTTGAAAGTACCGAAAGTAAGTGAAAATATTTAAGAATAATATTAAAAAGATCAAAAACTAATTTATTATTTTCATATTGAACTAGATTTTTTAAAATTCTTTTTATAATAATACATTTTTTCACGCAAAATTATTAACAATTTAGCAAAAGGCTAAATTATTTATTTTATGATTTTCGAAGTACATCGAAATATAATCTTGAGTTTACACTCCCGCCTTATACCCCTCCACTTTTTTGGTGCATAGAGAACACTAGTGCCCTCTTATTTTGGGAAGCTATTTGTATACATGGAGTTCGTGCTCCTTGTGTAGTCTTCATGGTTGAAATCCACACGTCAAAATATAGTATTTTATTTATCCAGCAGCGATGAGTAGGCAGATTGCCAATGGGCCGAATTTTCGTGGCCTCAAATTTATTGTGGTATCGGCGCGACACCTTAGCGGAGGACCCTCGAAGCAGTTCCACGTTTTTGATTGATCGAAAGATACCGTTAGATCCGGCGTGAAAAAATAAAAATATTGGCGTCAACAATATTCAAATTTTTTAATTAGTTTATTAATTATTACGGATGAAAGTAAGCCAATCGTAAGCGCGTGAGAACTGGTAACTCCTCGTCAGTCTCCTCCCATTGGGGACAGACAATCATTTATTTCCCCACAACAAATATTTTGCATTATTCTTTTGTTTATTTAAATTACTATATTCGTTTACGTATCCACCGGTCACTGTTTTTATGGGGAATTAAATGATTGGCTGTCCCCAATGAGAGGAAACTGACGAGGAGTTACCAGTTCTCACGCGCTTATGATTGGCTTACTTTAATCCGTAATAAATAATAAACTAATTAAAAAATTTGAATATTGTTGACGCCAATATTTTTATTTTTTCACGTCGAATCTAACGGTATCTTTCGATCAATCAAAAACGTGGAACTGCTTCGAGGGTCCTCCGCTAAGGTGTCGCGCCGATACCACAATAAATTTGAGGCCACGAAAATTCGGCCCATTGGCAATCTGCCTACTCATCGCTGCTGGATAAATAAAATACTATATTTGGGTATAAAGATTCAAAATAACAATGTCTGACAATCTTCTGACTAAGGAAAAAGAATTCTACAGATTAAACAAAGAACTTGATCAAAAGAGTACAGAGCTTATGCATAAAGTAGATTCTGTCATAAATGTACATTCTAATAGTGCTTTGACAAATTTTGTATCTAAACTTTCCTATTTCTCTCCATGTACACTTTCAGAAAGTTCTTACAAAGTGACAGAAGTTTTTTCAACAGAAAATAATGCCAAACAATTTACTAATGTTCCATATAAAAAAATATCTATGTCACATATATTAAATCAGATTACTCCTGCAGATCAGTAAGTTCTATATTAATTAATCATAAATAATATTTTTATTTAGTCATTAATCATTTAATTATAGAATTAAAGTTACTAATCTCTCAACATTTGTTATTTATATATATATTTTTATTTATATCTCATAGAACGGTGGAAATGAAAGATTTTTCTATTAATAACATTACTTTGGCTAATGGAAATAATACGACTAATGCACCTATTGTAGAGTTCCTTAAAGCAACAATTGGAATGTTATATAATGAATTGCAAGCTACTCAGATTGAATACAAGAAACAGGTAACCCTTATTGAACATTTGCAAATGGAATTCTGATTTGCTAAATCTATGTTATATGTAGTTACATTAATTTATTTACAATGTACGCGTTTATATAATTTAATTTATATAAAGACAAATTTCCAGGACATGTTTCAGCACATTGCAACTGATTTTGTTCTTTATCATATATACAAAGATAAAATGTGACACAAATATTTTTATATTACCTTTACGTTTATGATTGACTGAGCATTGTTACAATAATATGTAATTCTTCTCATTTCCTAGAGTAACTATTGTCAAAAATTGGAGGCTGAAAATAAAAAACTGGAAAATGAAAAATCAGTATTACATGGACAATTGAATACTTTCAAAAATAATATAAAAAAATTGGAGAATATAAACAAAGGTCTTAATTCCAAGATTGAAATGAAATACAACGAAACATTGAATTTGAAAAGAGTGAGCTTGTTATGCAACTGTTATTCAATTATTATTGTAACGTACACCTAATTTTTTTTCAGCAAATTAGTGGTTTGAAAAAGGAAATAAAGACATTAAATCTACAGAGCAACAGTTATGATATTCGATTAAATCGATTGCTGGAAAATAACGAGAAACTTCAAAATGCTTTAAAATTTAATCGATTGGAGGAAAAGGTGTGTGAAAATAAAGGTGCTATTTTTCAGTATTTATGCAATTTTCTTTTATATATAAATAGGATTTAAGAGATCAAGTTAGACAGTTACAAGAAGACAAAAGGATTGTGGTGAAGTCTTTAGAGAAGCAACGTTCTGAATTGGTGCAAGCCTTTAATAAACAAACATTACTAGTTGACAATTTAAAGAAACAAAAGGTGATTACATATTATATTACTTGAGTTTGTTCTTAGTGTTCTCTGAGTACATAAATTATTTGATTTAGGTATACCTTACAGCAAACAAACTCACACAATTTGCAGAAGATAATTTTTCACAACTGTTGAATTGGAAATCTGAAACTTAACTGTTTAAACGATTTTTTTAAAGAATAAGCATAAAACGTAATTTTTCTATGATGAAATTAATTTCATGATTCAATAATTGTGCTGCTACAAATCTACATTCTGTCTTTGTATTAATGTAATTAGTCATTATATGCACGGTATAAGTATAAAAAGGTATATTCCTTTCATGGACGAGTTTAGGACTTGTATATGTGTTCGAGTTTTACGCCCTTTTCTAGTTCGTTCACGCCCAGTGAAGTAAACTGGATAATCTATTGTCAGTGTTGTACAGCATATGTGCCTAGATATTAATTTAAATTTACCCTAAACAAGTATTTTTATCTCATTGACAAAGTTTACACCGTAAACCCTTCAATCTACCAACCTAAACCAAATATTTAATTCAAAATTTGGGGGCCTACAGCATATAATTTTTGAAGAAATACTCGTTTAGAGTAGATTTAGGGAGATGCGAGTAACCATTTATTTATTAGAAAATTAAAATATCCGGTTTCGAAAGATTTAGTGATTTGCCGAATACATTTTGTTAATTAAGGACTTTTAATATTCAATTATAATTGATTAGGAGCGGTCAATTATGTATTTGTGTAAAAACTCTAAAGCCACGAGCATTCTTATTTTGCAGCAGCAATAGTGATAAACTCGGTAATTTTTATATTGACTGCGTAATAGTTTTCTATATGATCATACGTAAGAACATCATTCTTATATTTATACCATAATAATATGTATCAATTTTGATATTCATGAAAAATAAAAAGAACTCAGTATAAACCATTGAAACGTAATTTAGAATATGTTTATACCCGTCTTGGATATCTTTTTTTAAAAAAGACTGAAAAAACTAGCAACACTTAAGAATTTCCAATAAAGTCCCTCTCACGGTCGTACCTACAAGTCATACAACTCCCTTGGAGGGGGTAGTCTTCTTAACCTTAGGCATGAATAAAAAAATTGACTAAATTGAATCAGACTACTCAAAAATGTATAAAACTAAAAATATCAAAGCAGATATACTATTTTCATTTTTTTTACCCAATATTAAAAAGTGCCATTTTTTGGGACATTTTTTACTACTTTTCTATTCGGCTGAATAATATTTAAACTATCGAAAAGTGAAACAGCCTGCCATACGTGCGAGCGTTATCAAATTTTTTTTTAATCAGACCACGGCACGTTAAAACAAAAAATGAAATGGAGAAATGTATCTATGTTAGAAATGCTAAAGCGTTAAGCGGAAACGAGATTTTTTTCCATTGCTGTCAATTTTTCTCTTACATCTTCATGAGAGTCCGTATCGCAACAAGTGAGGCTGCGCATTTCCACCAGCTATGGATCATCATGTACGAAGAACATGCATTGAACACGTTGGCAACGATTCAGCTTCGTAATCGTAAGGTGCCGCGTTCGCGTCTACAAAGGAAAACTTTTTTTTTCATCATTTCTTTTTTGTTTAATTTTTTTAAGAGGTAATGCCATTCTAACGGCTCAAAAAAATACAAAATTGTGGTCAATTATTATTGAAAAATAGCATATGTAATATAAAGTCTATTTAGATGAATTTATTGTACACTGAACGTCATTAATGTTGTCCAGCTTGTTGATGCAGTACGGTGAGATAAGAGAAAAGAGTGGACAGTGACTGTTTGACGGACATATGTACCAGGATAGAGACGCGAAGCGTCGTACGGTGCGTCCTGTTCGAACGCATGAGTGGGAGTGAGACGGCAATGCATGAGTCCCACCAAGTCGTACCTGGGAGCTTGGTGGGACATTGGCGCTAGCTAGCCTGGTCGACAACGTAGGAGAAGAGGCCCCACCAAGCTCCCTATTGCGAGTGAGGGGCCGCATTGCCGTCTCGCTTACACTCGTGGTGT